TGTGTGGATATGTGCGCGCGCACGTGCGTGTATGTACATTTCCGCCGATCCGTAAAAAGGCCTCGTTAAGTGTCTGAAAAGACTAATAAACGCCCCAAGAGTGACAGGTCATTAGCTTGATTTCACGGCATAAATTTCGGCTCCTCTTCTCGCTTCAGAAGTTTGCATAATTTATCAAATGTATCAGTAAATGCATCAGTAAACAATCCAGACAAGTTCATTTGTTGCACAAGTTCCTCCTCCCTCCCCTCTCCCCCTCCCCTTTCTCTCTCTTCTCTTTCCTTTTCTCCTTCATTCATTCCTATCCCTGCCTTCTTTCCCTCCTAACCTCTTCGTCTTTATTCCTCTCTATCCCTTCCCCTTCCTTCTCCGCCCTTTCTCCTCTCCTCCTCCTACACCCTTATTTATCCACAACCCCCCCCCTTTCGCTCCATCAATCGCACATGCTTACGTTCAGAGGAACGGACGCGGGGGGGGGGGATAGGGGGAAAGGAGTAGGAGGAGGAGGAGGAGGAGGAGGAGGAGGAGGAGGAGGAGGAGGAGGAGGGGGAAAGCGGGAGGAGGGAGAAGATAGAGGATGGGGAAAAGGAGGAGAGAAGGGGGAAGAAGGAAAGAAAGGACAGAAGAGGAAGGAGAGGGTAGACGAAGAAGGAGGGAAGAAAGCAGAAAAAAAGAACAAGGCACAGACGACGGAGTAAAGGGGGTAAAAGAGGGGGAAGAGGGGGTAGAGGGGGGGGTAGGGTCGTTCCATGTTTCCCAAGCGACCGTCAAAACAAGTTTACCCGAATTCGCACACCCGTCAACCCGTTAAGGACCCGCTGTTCTCTTTCATCCCCCGGTCGTTCCCCGCTCGCCCCCCCCCCCTTTGTTGACAGCCCTTGTGACAGAGGGATCAAGGAGGGGGAGGGGAGGGGAGGGGGTAGAGAGAGGAGGGAAGGGAGTGGGGAGGGGAGGGAGTAGAAAGAGGAGGGAAGGAGTAGAGAGAGGAGGGAGGAGGTAGAGAGAGGGGAAGGGTGTGGAGAGAGAAGAGACGGGGTAGAGAGATGGGGGAGGGGGTAGAGAGAGGGGAGGGGGTAGAGAGAAGGAAAGAAAGAAAGAAAAGAATGGGAAGGATGAAGGAAGAAGGAGAGTGGGGAAGGAGGGAGAGGGAAGGATGGGAAGAAGGAAGGGGAAGGAGCAATGGGAAGGGAAAGAGGACCACGGTGGGCGTGAAAAACGCGGAAGGAGTGAACCATATTTGCCATCCAGCGGCCTTCCCCTTCCGCGCCATCCCAAAACTCACTGGAATGTCAACAAACACCCTTTCTCTCCTCTCCCTTCCCCTCCCTCCCTCCTCCCCTCCACTATTACCAGCAGCTCATCAACCTCTCACCCATCCCCTCCCTCCCTCCCCTGCCCCTCCCCCACTCCCCACAAAATCTAACTAACCCCTCTCTCCCTCCCTCCCCCCCAACCCGTCAACCCCTCCCCTCCCTACCTCCCTCCCCCCCCACAACCCGTCAACCCCTCCCCCCCCTCCCTTTCCCCTCCCCACAACCCGTCAACCTCTCCCTCCCTACAACCTGTCTACCCCTCCCTCCCTCCCGTTTCCCCCTACAACCCATCAACCCCCTCCTCCCCTCATCCCTTCCCCCCCACCCACCCCCACTCCCCCCCAACTCACCGACCTCTGACCAAACTCCATCCCCCGCCCGACCAAGCCGCCTGGACACTCTCCTCAAGGCCCCGCTCCGTCGCTGGCCGTCCGCTCTCCCTCCCTCGCCGCCAACGGATCTACGGATCGGCGAGCAGCGACCGTGTCGTCCCGCGGGAGAATCTTCCTTGGCCGTTCACACCCGTTCGCGCCGATCGCCGTTCGGGTCAAGACAATGGGGTTCGATCGCCGACGTCTGGCTCTCGACTTACGCAATCCGCTTGGGCGTAAAAAGAAGTAACTCGAAGGAGAGGACGACGAAGAAGGAGGTGGGGGAGGAGGAGGAGGAGGAGAAGGTGGTGGAGGAGGAGGAGGAGGAGAGAGAGAAAAGGGAGAAGAGGATTTAAGTACAAGAAGAAGGAGTATGATGATGATGATGGTGATGATAATGATGATAACAAAAACGAACAATAACAATGGAGATAGCAGTAGTAGTAGTAGTAGTAGTAGTAGTAGTAGTAGTAGTAGTAGTAGTAGTAGTAGTAGTAGTAGTAGTAGTAGTAGTAGTAGAAGTAGTAGTAGTAATAACAATAACAACAACAACAATAAGAGAGGAAAGGAAGAAGGGAGAAGAACAAAACGCGGAAGCAAGCCCCGACTGGGAACTCAAGTAACGTATTCACCATTTATCTGTTGTACTTCTGTCAATTATCCTGCAATTTAAGTCGGATGCTTCTATTCCCTTTTTTATTATCTCAAGGTCTTCTCGGCGGCCTTGATGTCAGCTAATTATAAAAATATCCTGTTTCTTCAAGCTTCACCTCATTTATGCAAATCATGACATCCTCTTATCTCGACGTCTACGCCCCCTTATTTTCTTCTACATGCTGTATCCACACTCAAAACACCTTACAAAATATATACAATTGCTGTGGGCGCAATTACCTCACAAAATATATGTAATAAAAATCAGAAGATCACTTATAACAGAAAAAAATGACAAAAAATACAAATAATAATAAAAGAAAACTCAATCACACGAGAAGAAACCCACGACAAACAAACAACAAAAGAAACTAGGATTCGCTCTCTCCACCTACATAAAACACCTTATATAAAACATTTAAAAGCCACTCCCAAAACAAGCCCACCTATAACAGAAAAAAATTAGCATAAAAGCACAGCAGAACCCACGGCAAACAAGCAACAAAGACGCCAAGGATTGCCATGCACGCACACGCAAGCACACGCACAAAGACAGACAGACAGACACAGCCCCGAGCACTAGGACACTCGGCTTCCACAACAACACAATAAGGGACAAGTGCACTCAAACCGGAAGGAGATACCACTTTTACTTCATTTTAACTCCCTCTCCCTCCCCCCCCCCACCTTCCCTGACTCCGCCACTACCCCCCCTCCCACTTCCTCACTCCCTCACCACTCATCCTTCTTACTCCTCTTCCTCCTCCTCCTCCCCTCCCTCACTCCCTTCCTCCTCCTCCCCTCCCTCACTCCCTCCCTTCCCCCCCTCCTTACAAGTCACCCTCGTTACTCCACCTCACCCCCTCATTACCTATCCGTGTTACTACTACTCCCTCTCTCCTTCTTTTCTCCTCTCGTTACTCCTCTTCCTTCCTTCTTTACTACCTACTCCTCTACCTTCTTCCTCCTTCACCATTCACCCTCGTTACTCCATCTTCTTCCCCCCCTCACTCGATCATCACTCTCCCTTGCTACTTCTCTTTCTTTCATCATTACCACTCACTCATTCTTCCTCCCTTTTTCCCCTTCCTCACTCACTCTCTCTACAGCTCTTCCTTGTTCCTCCTCCTCCTTATCCCCCTCCTCTTTCTTCTTCTTCTTCTTCTTCTTCTTCTTCTTCTCCCCCCCCCCTCCTCCTTCTCCTTCTTCTCCTTCTCCTTCTCCTCCTCCTTCTCCTCCCACCCTCCCTTTTAACAACTATTCCCTCCCTCCCTCCATCCCTCCCTCCCTCAGCCACCCACCCAACTACCCCCCGCTCTCCCCCAGCCCCTCTCTCATAACGCACTCACAACCCTCACAATCAGCTGATTCTCGGTCTCCTCATCACTCACTCATTACTCTTGTGCGTCCATCCTATTTTGCATCTCAGTTCGCTCTTGACTCGGCAATTAAGAGCAGTGCATTAAATCATTTTCCTTTTTTTTCTTTCACGAAACATTTATTTCTTATCATCATTATTAGGCAAATTACCAAGTAGGGGGCCATTCACCGCAATCAAAAAAAAAAAAAAAATCATGCAGGAAGGAAGGAAGTGACGGTGGGTGATAAGAATGGGAAGGGCGAAATAGAGGGAGGGAGGGAGAGAGAGAAAATGAGAGAGAGAAAGAGAGGGCGAGAGAGAGAGAGAGAGAGAGAGAGAGAGAGAGAGAGAGAGAGAGAGAGAGAGAGAGAGAGAGAGAAAGTGAGAGAGAGAAAGAGAGAGAGAGAAAGAGAGAGAGAGAAAGTGCGAGATCGCAAAGGCCTCCCCCCCCCCGCACCACTTATCTCACGCCCATCACGCCGCAATCCGGTGCAAGAATCAATCAAGTGAGTCTGCGTGCGCCGTCCCAAGAGAGCCTGGCCGAGCTCTCACGCGAGCCCGCAATCTGTCAGGCGGAAGAAGTACACCCACGCCCACAAACACACCCATAACTACACCTACACCCACTCACCCACATTATCCACACACACACATAGAGACAGGTAGGCAGACAGACAGGCAGGCAGGCAGGCAGGCAGACAGGCAGACAGACAGACAGACAGGCAGACAGACAGGCAGACAGATATAAACAGACACAGACACACACACACACACATACACATACATGTGACCTCTGACCCGACATATGCATCTCGCCCACGACACGTATCATGGCAGAAATAAGCTCTCTCCAACACAAGACTTTCACAATCTTTATAATCATAATAATAACTATTATCGTCATCATTCACTATTCCTATCTTCATAATAAATACCATTATTCTTATTATCCTAATTCCCATAATTACCATAATCCCCATAACCATAATTATTACAATATATCATTATAACAATAACAACAACAACAACAACAATAATAATAATAATAATAATAATAATAATAATAACAATAATAATAATTACTGTTATTATCATTATCACTAAACATTCCATATGTTGGTGATAACAGTTTAAAGGAATTAATGTAATGTAATACAACGTAAATCATACCATCACACAATGTAATTTGCTAATTAATCAACGCTCTAGAGATATAACAGTCAAACAATTACCATAATTGCACGAGCGTATATACACCCTAACCTTCATTAATTATATTTATTAATAACCCTAATTAAAAAGGTTCCCCGAAACCCCGAACGCTATGCCCCCCTATCCCCCCCATACGGGTTACTCTCCAATCAACGTGCCACGTCCCGCTATCGTCTCCTACGCCCACGCCCATTCTAAGGCTTCCATCACGCCCACGTCACGCCCACCCGCACCGAGAGCTCCATTACGCCCACACCAATTAACGATTTCATCACGCCCACGTGCCATCCTTTCCTCGCATGATTCGTCAGAGTACAACCATTCTATCACGCCCTCGCGCACCAAAGTCTCCATTACGCCTAAAAAAAAAAACTCACGCCCACACTTCTCAAAGACTCTATCACGCCCACGCGCCGCCCTCACACAGGACTTCCGCGCACGATTCACCCGAAACAAAGAACTCGCTCCTCACGCCCATTTTCCCATCCCTCGCAAACTGCTGTCTACCACGCCCTTACGCCCTCACATCCTCAAGGGTGGGGGTGGGGGGTGGGGGGTGATGAGCGTGATGTGGCTCGATCTTTAAACACATATGAAATAAATTTACGTGTTTCGACGTCGGTATTTATCAAGATCATTAATAAAAATCATTTTTTCCTTTTCTCATCATCTCTTCTCCCGTTTATTTCCTCCTGCCACTTCCTCTCCATCGCATTTATTCCTGCACTTCCTTTTCTCATTAAAATCGTACGGTTTTCCCTTTTTATTCTCTCCCATACACATAATTATCCCCATTAACCGGCTAACTACACATAAAGAGCCATTTCCCCCTACGGCAATTTCATTATCAATTTAATATAATCAACAATTCCAATTTGCTTCATCTTACCTTTAAGAACCCTATCTTCTGACTTCTAATTAACATGAAAGAAAAAAAAAATGGAGTTCACTTAATCACTATGTCTGTCTGTCTGTCTGCTTGTCTGTCTGACTGTTTGACTGTCTGATTGTTTGTCTGTCTCCTCGTTTTCTTTCGTTGAGCTTTCCTTTTCTTAATTACGGCTATTAATTTTCATTGTTCATTGTGTTGCATTAAGAAAGACATTAACGACACTAAATAATCCATAAAATAAAAGACGTAAATGACGCGTTTCGACACTGTACATTTATCAGGTGTAGGCCTATGTAATTCCGATGAATTCGTACAACCATAGTTATTCAGCCTCATTTACCCCTTTTCTATAAATAATAATAATAATAATAATAATAATAATAATAATTCTCCCTTGTTTCGTTATTCTCTACCTTCTTCCAAAATCGTCTTCACTATATGGAAAGTCTTAATCAGCTGTAGGCCTATTTTATCAATTCACTCTTCCTCTCTGCAACGCTCCTAGGCCTATTTTGTCTACCGTCATCCCCTCCCTATCTGCAATATTCCTATTTTGAGTACATTACTCGTAATAAAAATAATTAAACTAGATTATATAGTGAGACCGAATTAAGTAAAGAAATGAGAGAAAATGGAAAATTAACTCAAAAGAACACTCGACTTTTAAATACACATACACATATATATTAATAAAAAACAACAACAACTGAGAAGCGGTAGCAATAAACCAAGAAAGAATGGAAGAGAAAAGACAAAATGGAGGGGAAAACGAGGAACACAGACACCGAACATGACCTTTTTAAAACTCTATCCACAGCTTCCCCGCCTTTCTCTCTCCCGCTTCCCCTTCCCTTTAAAACCAATCAACACCCATCCACTCGCACGAAAAAAAAAAAAAATCTCCTTTCTCTCACCGCCAATGACCCTTGCCCTACACGTGAACCTCCCTTTGTGATCCCCTACCCCGCCCCCCCCCCACCAAACCCCACCCTCTTTTTTTTTACCCCCTATTTACTCCCCCTACCACCCCCTTTTACTATTCTACCCCCTCCTCCCCATTCCCTTGTGCTTCCCCTCCCCCCCTAAACCACGTGATGGCGACCCCCCAGGGTGAATGTCACGTCACAAAGGCAGCACCGCCCTTCAACCTACTCCTCCCCTCTCCTCCCCTCTCCATTCCCTTCTCTTCCCTCTCCTCCCCTCCATCCCCTCCCCTCTCCTTCTCTCCCCTTCCTTCCCCTTCCCTCCCCTCCCCTTCCCTCCCCTTCTCTCTCCTCCCCTCCGTCCCTTCCCCTCTCCTTCCTTTCCCCGCGTCAAAGAGTCAAACCCTTACCTCTTACCCAAAGCCCCTCCCCGCCTTCCCCCACAGCCCCACCCCCATTCGAGGCGGCCAGGCATGTGACACTCACGAGAGGGCCCCCGAGTGCCAGTCTGGTCGGTAGTGCCAGAGTACCCGGGGCGAGATAATGGAATGAGCGCGACCACCAAGAGTGTTTGTGTGTCTGGGGCGTGATTGGGGGGGGGGGGGGGAGAAGGGGGGAGGAGCGATGACGGAAGGAGGAGGGAGAAGAAGGGAGGAGAGAAGACGGAAGGAGGAGGGAGGAGAGAAGATGGAATGAGGAGGGATAGAGGATGGAGAACGGAGGGAGTAGGGAGGGAAAGAGTTGGGAGAGAGGAAGGGAGAGGAGAAAGTGAGAA